AGTGGGGGAATTTGATGATGGTAACACCATTGAACGTCAAGGGGGCGATGGTTAGATTCTCTCTCAATGGTAACCCCCAGGATGTTGATCGTGGGGGAATTTGATGATGGTAACACCATTGAACGTCAAGAGGGCGATGGTTAGATTCTCTCTTTTTGGAGATGATCATTGCTTGGCATTTGTGTGGAAATTTGCACTTCATGGCCAAGATACAGAAAATGGAGTTGGAAGATACTTCATCTCATTTGGAATGGTGGCTCAGCAGATGAAATGACCAAAAGATCCTTATTATACAGATTGTCTTGATGGCTACATGAATTTGTACCTTGGCTTGTCGGAAAAGCCATCTGCAGACTACAAAACCGTTAAATAAACAATGCGAGTGGTCCCCAGGCTAATTTGTATGCAAGTCGGAATACAATGGAGTACAGTGAAAGATATCCATTCAAATTTCTGCAGTGCGTCCTGTAGATGGTACACACTGCTGCGACTGAGCGTCGGTGGTGGAGAGGGTGGGTGCTTGTGGATGTGGTGCCAATCCAAGCGGTGGGGGGAGCTGCTTTGTCTCTGGATGGTGTCGAGCTTCTCAAGTGTTGTTGGAGCTGTCCCCATCCAGGGCAAGTGGGGGGGGTATTCCCTCACACTCCTGACTTGTGCCTTGTCGATGGTGGGACAGGCTTTTGGGGGGCAGCAGTCAGGAGGTGAGATACTCGCTGCAGGATTCCCAGCCTCTGATCTGCTCTTGTAGCCACTATTTATATGGTGAGTCTAGTTGGGTTTCTGGTCAATGGTAACCCCCAGGATGTTGATAGTGGGGGGATCTAGTGATAGTAACACCAAGGGGGCGATGGTTAGATTCTCACTTATTAGAGATGGTTGTTGCCTGGCATTTGTGTGGCGCGAATGTTACTATAGGTCCATAAGTAGACAAGGTAGGTCAACAAAATGTTCTGTAGCACAGCCAAAAAAGTTAGTTCAGTTTTTCTTTGCAGGATTTGGATTAGCCTGGTCAGGGGAGATGATGGCCTAGTGGCATTATCACTGGACTATTAATCCAAGGATCTGGGTTCAAATCTCACCGAAGCAGATGTTGGAATCTGAATTCGACAAAAACCAAACTGGATGACCGTGAATCCATTGTTGTTTATCGGAAAAACCCTTCTGGTTCACTAATGTCCTTCAGGGAAGGAAACTGCCATCCTTACCTGGTCGACAGAGCACAACAATGCCTCTCCTCCCCTGGGAGGCTAAGGAAATTCGGCATGTCCTCAAAGACTCTTATCGATGTTTCTAGATGCACCAGAGAAAGCTTTCCATCTGGATCCATCATGGCATGGTCCAGCAACTGCTCTGACCAGGACCGTCAGAAACTACAGAGAGATGTGAACACAGCCCAGTTCATCCACTGACTCCATCTACAATTCCCCCTGCCTCGGGAAGGCAGCCAACATCAAAGACCCCTCCCACCCTGGTTATAATCTCTTCCATCAGGCAGATGAAGATACAAAATCTTAAACACACGCACCATCAGATTGAAGAACAGCTTCTTCCTCGCTGTTATCAGACTCCTGAGTGGACCTCCCTAAATTTAATGTGAATTTAATGTTGATCTCGCTCCCTCTGTGCACCTTCTCTGCAGCTGTGACATTGTATTCCTCACTCTGTTCTATCACCCTAATGCACTTTGTATGGTATGATATACCTGTGATGCAAGCGAAACAAAACTTTACACTGTACCTAGGTACATGGGACAATAATAAAATCAAAATAAAATCCCGCGCATGAATATTTTTTAAAAAGCTGGAGAGAAATCAAAAATCAGGATCAGGGTTCAAATTTTACCTCACAAATACTCAAAGCAGTAGTGGATAATTCAGAAATAAAAGAATTTAATATCTTCAGCCTGTCATCCACAATCTCAAGGTAGACTGGAAGGAGCATCCATTTTTAGACACCATGATTAAAGTCTATTATCAGGAAAGTCCTAATGGTTTGGATAATCGAATTCCCTTCTTACTGTTTGCCATTTGGAATGTCCCTAATGAATTCACAGATTTTAGTAACAGTTTGAAGTCATATAGCACGGAAACAGACCCTTCAGCCCAACCAGTCCGTGCTGACCCTAATCCCAAACTAAACTAGTCCCACCTGCCTGCTCCTGGCCCATATCCCTCCATCCTTTCCTATCCATGTACCTATACAAATGTCTGTTAAACGTTGTAACTGTACCCACATCCACCACTTCCTCAGGAAGTTCATTCCACACACGAACCACCCTCTGTGTAAAAAATTTGCCTCCATGTCTTTTTTAAATCTGTCTTCCCCCCACCTTAAAAATATGTCCCCTAGTCTTGAAATCCCCCACCCTAGGGAAAAGATACCTACTATTAACCCTATCTCTACCCCTCATTATTTTATAAACTTCTATCAGGTCGCCTCTCAACCTCCTACACTCCAGTGAAAAAAAATCCCAGCCTATCCAATAACCGAAACCTTCCACACCCAGCAATATCCATGGGTGATCATTTGGCAGATGGGAATACAATGTGGGAAAATGTGGACTTTTGGCAGGAAAAACAGAACACGAAAAATTGATTGAGGTGGACTGCAGGACTCTGGGTGTCCTGGAACTTGCGTCTCTTAAAGTTAGCGTGCAGATACAGTAGTTAGGATGGCTAACAAAATGTTGAATATTGCAAGGAGAATAGAATTTGAAAAGTGTGAGACCACATCTGGGACACTGTCAACAAAGAACAAAGAACAAAGAATGAAGAAAATTATAGCATAAGAACAGGCCCTTCGGCCCTCCAAGCCTGCGCTGATCCAGATCCTCTATCTAAACCTGTCGCCTGTTTTCCAAGGATCTGTATCCCTCTGCTCCCTGCCCATTCATGTATCTGTCTAGATACATCTTAAATGATGCTATTCTACCACCTTCGCTGGCAACGCGTTCCAGGCACCCACCACCCTCTGTGTAAAGAACTTTCCACGCGTATCTCCCTTAAACTTTTCCCCTCTCACCTTGAAATCGTGACCCCTAGTAATTGAGTCCCCCACTCTGGGAAAAAGCTTCTTGCTATCCACCCTGTCTATACCTCTCATGATTTTGTAGACCTCAATCAGGTCCCCCCTCAACCTCCGTCTTTCTAATGTAAATAATTCTAATCTACTCAACCTCTCTTCATAGCTAGCGCCCTCCATACCACGCAACATCCTGGTGAACCTCCTCTGCACCCTCTCCAAAGCATCCACATCCTTTTGGCAATGTGGCGACCAGAACTGTACGCAGTATTCCAAATGTGGTCGAATCAAAGTCCTCTACAACTGTAAGATGACCTGCCAACTCTTGTACTCAATAGCCCGTCCGATGAATGAAAGCATGCCGTATGCCTTCTTGACCACTCTATCAACCTGGGTTGCCACCTTTAGGCTACAATGGACCTGAACACCCAGATCTCTCTGTGTATCAATTTTCCCCAGGGCTTTTCCATTTACCATATAGTTTGCTCTTGAGTTTGGGTCTGTTTTTTTATTAAGGTGTAAATGTGTCAGGAACATTTTGGAGAAGGTTCATTACTAGGATAATCCCTAATTGTCCCTCCTACTGCTTGGTCGAGGCATTGCAGAGGGCAGTTACAGTCACGTGACTCCAGACTGTTGAGGGGGCTGGATCCCCGTCTGCACCAGTTGGCATCAAATCCTTTGATCTCGGGGAACCTGGGTGGTATTTTTGACTGCCTCATCCCGAGAGCAGAAGCCATGATGTTTTTGGCCTGTTTGTGAAGGGGCTGCAGGTGCTATGGTCACTCACTCCAGATGGAAGGGAAAGGAAGGGAAGGGAAGGGGAAGGGCAGAGGAACTGAAACCCCTCGGGTCGCTGAGCGGCAGCCCCACCACGGTAGTCATCTCCGAAACAGCCGTGGGCTTCACCCATGAGCAGGAAGGAAAATGCAGAGGCTCCACCAGACGCTCACCTTCCTCAGGCATGGCACGCATTCACACATCCAGACCCCCTGGTAGATTGGGAAATAACCAAAGCTGACTCCAGCTCGTCACCTCCTGCTCTGCCATCGCTTGCATTTCACTGTCGTAGCTCTTTCCAATCAACTGTATTCACACTCACGGCCCCAGTACCAAGCCAGGCGGCACTCCACCCATTACCATGCCGAAAACACACCTGTTATCCCAACTCTCCTCCTGCTATCGCTTAGCCAATCCTGCTAACATACTACCTCCAACTCCACAGCTCTTCTTCCTCAAATGGAGTTTAATTTAGATAAATGTGAGGTGCTGCATTTTGGAAAAGCAAATCAGGCCAGGACTTATACACTTAATGGTAAGGTCCTGGGGAGTGTTGCTGAACACAGAGACCATGGGGAGCAGGTACATAGTTCCTTGAAAGTGGGGTCGCAGGTAGACAGGGCGGTGAAGAAGGTGTTTGGTACGCTTGCCTTTATTGGTCAGTGCTTTGAGTAGAGGAGTTGGGAGGGTCATGTTGCGGCTGTATTGGTGAGGCCACTTTTGGAATACTGTGTTCAATTCTGGTCTCTCTGCTACAGGAAGGATGTTGTGAAACTTGAAAGGGTTCAGAAAAGATTTACAAGGATGTTGGAGGGTTTGAGCTATAAGGAGTGGCTGGGGCCATTTCCCCGGAGCGTCAGAGGCTGAGGGGGTGACCTTATAGAGATTTATAAAATCATGAGGGGCATGGACAGGGTGAATAGCCAAGGTCTTTCCCCCCAGGGTAGGGGAGTCCAAAACTAGAGGGGCATAGGTTTAAGGTGAGAGGGGAAAGATTTAAAAGGGACCTGAGGGGCAACTTTTTCACGCAGAGGGTGGTGTGTGTATGGAGCGGGCTGACAGAGGAAGTGGTGGGGGCTGGTACAATTACAACATTTAAAAGGCATCGGGATGGGGACATGAACAGGAAGGGTTTGGAGGGATATGTGCCAAATGCTGGCAAATGGGACTAGATTAATTTAGGATATCTGGGTTGGCATGGACGAGTTGGGCCGAAGGGTCTGTTTCTGTGCCGTATGGCTCTATAAATGTCTTTCTGAAAATCTGAATAAATTACATCCATTGGCTCCCCTTTATCTATCCTACTCATTACTTCTCAAAGAATTATAGACAATTGGTCAGGCAAGAGTTCCCATTCATGATGACTTTGCGTGAATTTTAAATGCTCTGGTTTTACATCCTTTATCATAGACAAATACTTTCCCAATACCAGACATTAAGCTAACTGGCCTGTCGTTATCTGTTGTCTCCTTCCCTTTCTTAAAATAAAGGTGTTACATTATCACTTTTCTAATCCTCTGGGACTTTTCCACAGGATAAAGATTCTTGGAAGATTACTAACAGTATCCATTCTCTTTTCCTTTAATATCCCAGGATGTACCCTATCAGATCCAGGGGACCTGTCAGTTCCTGCTCCATTCGTTTTCCTCATACTTTTGTTCTGCTGCTGGTTGTAGAGTCCTACAGCGTGGAAACAGACCCTTCAGTCCAACCGGTCTGTGCTGGACTTAATCCCAAACTAAACTAGTCCCACCTGCCTGCTCCTGGCCCATATCCCTCCAAACCTTTCCTATTCATGTACTTATCCTAAATTTCCTTTAAACATTCTAACTGTACCCACTTCCACTTGAAGATAATTCCACACATAAACCACCCTTGGTGTAAAAAAAAATTGCCCCCCATGTCTTTTTAAAATCTTTCTCCTCCCATTTTAAAAATATACCCCCAGTCTTGAAATCCCTTCACTTTATCTATATCCCTCATGATTTTATAAACTTCTAAGGTTACCCCTCAACCTCCTACGCCCCAGTGAAAAATGTCCCAGCCTATCCTTATAACTGAAACCTTCCAAACCTGGCAACATGCTTGTAAATCTCTTCTGAACCCTCTCCAATTTGATAATATCCTTCCTATAGCTGGGAGACCAGAACTGGACACAGTGCTCCAGAAGGGGTCTCACCAACGTCCTGTACAACCTCAACATGACGTCCTAATTCCTAGACTCAAAGGCCTAAGCCTATTTACGGCTGTTTTTCTATAATAATAGTGTTATCCAAATAGCTGTCCTGTAATGCTGCAATAGTCCTGCTTCTTAAATCTACATTTCTGTTCCCTAAACACCCCCTCTACGGCCTGAATTATACGATTCCTCGGGCATTGGTCCCAGCAAATCCCATGAGGACAACCAGCCCAGTATTCGTGCCAATCCCGCATAAACTACAGGGATGGAGTTTACAAACATGGAGGTTATGCTGCAACTGTATAAGGTCCTGGTGAGGCCATACCTGGAGCATTGTGTACAGCTTTGGTCTCCTTACTTGAGAAAGGACGTACTGGGCACTGGAGGGGGTGCACAGGAGGTTCGCTAGGTTGGTTCCAGAGCTGAGAGGGTCGGAATATGAGGAGAGATTGAGTAGACTGGGATTATACTCATTGGAATTTAGAAGAATGAGAGGGGATCTTACAGAAACATATAAAATGATGAAGGGAATAGATAAGGTAGAAGCAGGGAGGGTGTTCCCATTGGTAGGTGAAACAAGGGGGGACATAGCCTCAAAATAAGGGGGAAGCAGATTTAGGATTGAGTTGAGGAGGAACTTATTCACCCAAAGGGTTGGGAATCTGTGGAATTCCCTGCCCAGTGAGGCTACCTTGTTGAATTATTTTTTTAAGGCAAAGATAGATTTTGGAACAGGAAAGGGATTAAGGGTGAACGGGAGCCGGTAAGGGGAGCTGAGTCCATGAAAAGATCAGCCATGATCTTACTGAATGGCAGGGGCAGGGTCAAAGGGCCGAGTGGCCAACCCCTGCTCCCATTTGTGACGTGAGCCATTCCACCCACATCAATCTCTGAGCTACGCTCTGGCTCATTACGTCACCAGATCCAAAAGAGCCCAACGCCTGGCCGAATCCACGACGTATCGCCCAAGGAAACTGTCCCAAACATACGATGAAATCTTCCAGACTCTCTGTGCTGATTTAGCTTTACATGTGGAGATTAAAGTTACTCAGAACTTCCTCTGTATCCGCACTAGCGTAACCATATCTTTCCTGCAAGGTGTGGTCTCACTACCGCAATCACAAGTTGCACAACACCAGGGTATAGTCCAATAGGTTTATTTGAAATCACAAGCTTTCGGAGCCTCGCTCCTTCACCGGACACAGGAGCAGCGCTAACGAAAGCTTGTGATTTCAAATAAACCTGTTGGATTGTGACCTGGTGTTGTGTGATTTCCGACATTGTCCATCCCAGTCTAACACCGGCACCTCCACACCCTCGCTACTGTAATCACCCAGCTCTTTATCTCATTTCTCTTCAACTGGGGTTTAAAAATAAAAGGGCTGAATTTAAAAAAGGGAAGCTATCTTGTGAGTTATATACATCAGACGGTGTGCAGCTCTGTACCAATAACAAGGTAGCCCAGTTCCTTTAGTTAATAAATTAAGTTTATTATTTAAAAAAAAACAACTTAAGCAAAGATGCACATGAACAAAATATTTAAAATGTGTGGCAACCCTTCTTGGTAAACACACGCACACAACCTCCTCTCCAAGCCCTGGAAAGACACTGCAATGTTTTATCTTAAAAAGACTTTGGCTATGCAACATTGGGGGGAATAAAAAGGAATTTTTTGCAGATGGATTTGGGACTGCAGTCTGACATTCGGTCATGCTGGTACGCTGATTTCTCTCCGCGGATGCTGCCGGACCCGAGCTTTCCCAGCAACTCGGTCACTCAAGCTGTTATTGCTAGGCTTTCTTCCTGGATCCTTTACCACCAGCTGAGGTCTCTTTTTCTGGAGATAGTGGTGTCAAATTCAGACTTCTCAAGAAATCCCTGCCACTTGCAGTGATGAGGTCTTCCAGTTTCGGATTGTTTGAAGGGGAGGATGGTTTCAGAGAGAGAGAGGGCGTCAGCTGCTGTCCTGGAGGTAAATTCTTTCTGTGCTCAAGACCCATTATGTTCCACACCCAAAAACCAGGTTACAACTCACTGTTTCCCTGACAGTATTGCAAAACAGCGAGGCTAGAGTCATTAAGCCTCTGTTCTTCGCAAATGCAACGTGCCCATAACCAGCACCTTCCGCTCCGCAAAGTATAGTTTTCAAAATATTCGGGACCTGGATCTACATCCAGCCGATATCGTAAATTAGTGTTTCATGTATCTTCCGAACAATGGTATGTTATACTTGCAGGGGGTGGCGTTCCCATGTATCTGCTGCCCTTGTCTTTCTAGATGGAAGTGGCCATGGGTTTGAAAGGTGGTGCCTGAGGATCTTTGGTGAATTTCTGCAGGGCATCTTATACACACTGCTGCGACTGAGTGTTGGAGGGAGTGGGTGTTGAAGGTGGATGGGATAACAAACAAGTGGGCTGATATTTACTGGAATGGTGCCGAGGGAGCGCCGCACTGCCGGAGGGTCAGCGCCGAGGGAGCGCCGCACTGCCGGAGGGTCAGCGCCGCACTGCCGGAGGGTCAGCGCCGAGGGAGCGCCGCACTGTTTATCTCTGGTATCCTTGAACCAACAGAAGCAGCAAGCTGATTGGAGCGTTGTTGCTTCACCGGTTATCGGGAGCTTGCCACGAGCAAATTGGGTGTGCGTTCCCTCCGTGACAACTGTGAATACGCTACAAAAAGTAGTTGCCTGGCTGTAAAGTGCCTTTGGGATGCTCTGTGTTGGGAAGGGTGCTACGCAAAGGCAAGTTGTTGCTGTGCAGCATTGGAGGAGGCGCCACCATCTGCTCACCCTGTGGTACTTCAAGGACATTTTTGTACAATTCTCAAAAAAAACTCAAGGCAGGTATTCAAAATCCAAACCTCACAGCTGGAATTTTAAACCTTTATGTTTGGAGGATAAATCAATGCAGGATTCACCTGGTGTTGCCTGTTTGTGGAACACGAAGAGATGACATCAAATGAGACCTTCAGCAGCTGTGAGGCACTTTGGGACATCCAAAGGTGAAAGGCTCTACAGAAATGAAATCCTCGCTCTGTCAGAGAGGGACTGCGGGACAGCTGGCAAGAGAAAGGTGATCAGGAGAGACAGCACGGAGGTGGGGGGAGAGGGAGGTGGGGAGACAGTTGGAGGGGACTGGGGAACAGACAGACAGAGAGAGAGAGAGAGAGGGAGAGAGAGAGGGGAGCAGAGAGGGGAGCAGAGAGGGAGTGTGGAGCAGACAGAGAGAGAGAGTGTAACAGACAGAGAGAGAGAGAGTGAGAGTGAGTGGAGCAGAGAGAGAGTGAGTGGAGCAGACAGAGAGAGAGAGAGAGAGAGGGGAGCAGAGAGGGAGTGTGGAGCAGACAGAGAGAGAGAGTGTAACAGACAGAGAGAGAGAGAGTGAGAGTGAGTGGAGCAGAGAGAGAGTGAGTGGAGCAGACAGAGAGAGAGAGAGAAATAGTGGAGCAGAGAGAGAGAAATAGTGGAGCAGACAGAGAGAGAGAGAGAGTGTGGAGGGGGGCAGAGAGAGAGGGAGAGAGGGCGCCAGGTGCATTTGAGAGGAAGGGGTCACTGAGACGGGGTCTGTCCATCTTTAGTGGGTGTGTGAACCCACAGCAACCAAGTGAGCACGAGGAGCTCAGTTCCCCACGATATAAAACGACGTCTGTACCAGATATTGGTGGAATACAATCACAGTGGCTTTATTTAAACAACAGAATCCTAGTGACTGGGGAGCAGGGGCAGTGGGGTGTGTGTGTGTGTGTGTGTGTGTTGCAGGGGTGGGGAATGGGAGCGAAGAGAGGGTGGGGAGGTGGGGGAAAACGGGGTTGGATTGAGTCCACGATGGTGGCCAGACCTCGTGTGGATCTCGAGAGATCGTTGCCAGCGTTCAGGGGATAGTACAGGATGCTCCCTAGGCTCCAAGCTGTCCCTTCACATCCAGCCGCCTCCCTGGGGAGTTAGACACGTCGTTGTATTTCACTGCCCCACCCCCTACCTTCCCGAGTGACCAGCCTCGACATTCCTCCTGCAGAAACCACTTTGGTTTAAGGCTTTTCAAACAAACACAAGAATGAGCCTCCCAATGTCGCCCCGCTCTGAACCGCGCACTCCAGTAATTCCCAGCAGCTGCCGATATCCATCCTCCAGGAGATTCATCTCTCACCTGCTGGGAACCGGAAACAGAAACACAGCAGCTCGTGAATCACTAACTCTGCTTCCCCCCTCATCCCAAATCTCACAGAATCCCTGCCAGCTTTTCAAATCCCGACACTCCTCCCTGTGTCTGTCACCCCCTCCAGCCCCCTACACCCCCCTCCCTATCTCTGTCACCCCCTCCAGCCCCCTACACTCCCTCCCTA